GCCAACAGCAACAAGGTATTTCTGGGACTTTGGACAAATGGACGCAAGGAAAATGAAGGAGCAGGACTATGTGGGTTTGTGAGTCTGCAAAGTTGGAAGCCAAAGTAAGAGAAAAAAAGGATTGTCTTCCCATTAGAATTCCTGTGCCATTTGCTGGAGGAGGGATGCACAGACCTTGAATCTCACATCATGGTTGCCATTTGCCTTCCTGCCATGGAAGGCAAAAGTCCAGGACCCCTGGCCATTTCATAGATCCAGCTGAGATGTTTTTGGGAGTCATAGATGGCAGAATCAATGTGATACAGGAGACTAACATGATTTTCTAGAAGACTGAATCAAGTGTCCATCCATCCATCCATCCATCCTTTTTTATTTTTTTAAGGTGGGGAGGGAGATTTGTGATTGTAATTTCTGCACGCATATGGGCATCAGGCTGTAGTCCTCTCCCCACATATTCTACATTCCAAGCAAAATAGACAGGATGGGTCTGATCACTTTTATACCATGGGAGCAGGATGTTCAGCTCTGGTAAACATCAGAACTGGGATTGAAGGAGAATAATGAAAAGGTCTGGGGAAAGCCCATGATCCTTAAAAACTGAATTACAGTTAACATTCAATGGTAGGGAATCTGCTCACCTCTCAGGCAGACCATTCCTTAGCTGTGCCCCCATTGCCCTGGCACAGGCTGCTTGATGCTTGAGACTCCTGGAAGATTGAGATGATGCTCTAGGTCAGGGATGGCAACAAGTGACCTTCCATGTTGTTGGACTGCAACTCCCATAGTGATTGGCCAGTGGTGGCTAAGGCTGATAGGGCCTTGAGAGCCACTGCTTCTCCATCCCTGCCCAAATTGCCACCTCTTTGGTTCCAGTGAGAGCCTGTGTGGTACAGTGGTTAAGAGCGGTGGACTTGTAATCTGGTGAACCGGGTTCGCGTCTCCGCTCCTCCACATGCAGCTGCTGGGTGACCTTGGACTAGTCACACTTCTCTGAAGTCTCTCAGCCCCACTCACCTCACAGAGTGTTTGTTGTGGAGGAGGAAGGGAAAGGAGAATGTTAGCTGCTTTGAGACTCCTTCGGGTAGTGATAAAGCGGGATATCAAATCCAAACTCTTCTTCTTCCTCTTCTGCTGTCCCCTTCTGCTTCTCTACTAGCATTGGCCACATCCAGGTATGTTCTAGCTGCAAGAGACAGGCAGGAAATTATACTGATAGGGAGGCATTCTTTAAAGAGTTAGACTAAGCTTGGCAAAACCTAGGCCGAGTTTCCCATTCAACCACAAATCTCACCATGAGACCTTGGGCAGATTGTTCTTTCTCAGCCTAACCTACTTTGCAGAATTGTTTGTTCTTCCTCTTCCCAGTGTAAGCCACCATGAACGTATTAGAGGAAAGGCAGAATATAAACAGTATAGAATCAGTCTAAGCAGAAATGAAAAGGTGCTGGGGCGTGGCAGTGAAAATTTGAGGTGGCCTTAGAAAGGAGCCTGCAGCTCTTTTGAAAAAATGTTCTGTTTCAATTTTCTTTATTGAAAACTATAACCAGAATCCTCATGAGTACCCTCAGTCCTTTCCCTCCCTTGGGGTACTTAAAAGTACGCGGTATCGGCACCTTTTTTTCCTAGAAGAAAAGCACTGGTTAAAGGTGTGTCACTTACTGTAACAGCTTAATGGTGAGTACAGACACCATTTTTCTGGAAGAAAAGGACTGAGTAGCCCTCAGCCTTAACATACATGCATTACCTAGTCTAAGAAGAGTATTGCTGTTCTTTTCTCCACATGGCCACTACTGCACCCCATTAATGGGAATTTATGGTTGTGACTGATACAGCCTCATAGGGAGAAAATGGATAGTATTGGGGACATTAAATGTTTATTCTGAAACATTTTAAAAACATCACAGAAAGGTGTCAACTGCACAGATTACTAAAAATTCACAGTGTCATTAGAATTCATCAGCTGTCTTCAGCAGATGGCAATATTAACAGAGTAGGAAGCATTTGTTGAAGAATGTCAAGGGGGAGATGAATTGGGAGGATAATAGGCAGAAGAAATTGTTAGAGGCGCTGGCCTGCCTGTCAGAGACAGGATTTGATATATCTCAGCAGGAGCTTCCTTCCCTTTCTGTGCAGTTCTTACTCACCACCACAAACACTGGCGTCTTCGCTCTGTCTTACTGTGGTCCCTTTCAAATCTCTAACCTTTAAGAACAGAAGCAGCTAGTCACCCATTCCCAGGAGTTGTTCCAATGGGCACCAATTCCAAAGGCCTCTTCATTCTTCAAGCCTTCAACGGAGGCCAGAAAGACATTAGAATGCCAAAGGCCACACTAAAGACCCAACTCCTGTCATTGCGGGGAACTGACCTCTTCCTAAGGGTGGTACAGTGGTACCTTGGTTGTCAAACAGCTTGGTTCCCGAATGCCGAGAACCTGGAAGTAAGTGTTCCGGTTTGCAAACGTTTTTTGGAAGCTGGACTTCCAACATGGCATCCGCAGCTTCCGACTGAGTGCGGGAAGCTCCTGCAGCCAATTGGAAGCTACACCTTGGTCTTTGAACGGTTCCGGGAGTTGAACAGACTCCCAGAATGGATTAAGTTTGACAACCAAGGTACCACTGTACTGTTGTAGTCTCATTGCTGAGCATCAACATGCAGAGCTCAGTGGAGTGGGAGACCAGCCAACCAGAAGAGTCTCTGAGGTGTACTTGCCTGGAAGCATAGCCAGCGTCCAAAGTCAGGTCCAGTCCTAGCATCAGGCAAACAGCAATTCCATGTGGTTAGATGATCCAGGGGTCAGAGAATTCAATGTTCATGGGGTCAAGGGTCCAGATGAGCAAGAAGCAGCAAAGTAGAGCCATGAATTGCAAGTGTTGTTACCAGCATCTGACTGCGGCTGGAAGTTCTGCTTAAGAAGGCTGAAGCCAGCTGGTTCTCACCAGCGCCTTCTCCTCTGAGTTCTTGAAGGCTGATGGGTGGAATCACTCTGCCTTCTCCCCCTTCAGGCTGCTGTTTAGCAAGCACAGCTTACTCCTGGCCCATGACAGGTATCTGCAGGATGCCCTGTAGTAAGTGGTTGGGTGTATAGGGGATGAGACTCTCTCGTAGGTATCCTGGTCTCAAGCTGCATAGGGCTTTGTACAGCAAAACCAGCACCTTGATTTAGCCTGATGGCTAATTATTAAGCTGAAAGATGGTAATTGCACCAGGGCCATCTGTTCATTTTCATGGCAAACAATGTTTCAGAGGGTTTCAGGGTTATTGTTTTGGTTTGTACAACTCCATATCTGTTTATAGTCGGCACGGTTTAAATTGGAGGTTCTGTGTATATAACTTGATTCTCTTCCTCTTTCATTTTGTATTGAAAAAATACAAAATGCTTCCTTTGCTTCAGATGCACCCTATAATATAAGTTGTGCATGATTCATTGACCGACAGCTATCTTTGTTCTGAGCAAATGAAAACTAACTTTCATCGAGAACAGATGAGCAAATCTGCTCTTGCAAACTCGCCACACCCCATGCTCTGGTGTTGTTTCACAGATAGGAAGGAAGCACTGTTTTCTGGCCAAGGGTGTTTTGTCTTAAATAACAAAGCTTTGAAGATATGAAATTGTATATTCAGCACCAGCTTTCAATTATCTGATTTTTAAGCGGTCTGTGAGCAGCTGCAATTCTGAACAAATGTTGTTCAATATTTTATGGGCTTCCATATGCATTTTCTGCACAAAAGTAATACTGGGAGGGTGTTTGTGCAGGATCCAAACATATTATTTATTTATTTGGTTGGTTGGTTGGTTGTACTTTTGACCAGAATCCCTGATGTGGTTCCCAACACAAATGTCGCAGAAGAATTAATGACCCTACACTCAAGAAACAAAACAGTTGGCTGCCATCTGCTAGTATCTTTTCTCACTCCAGTCTGTCTCCAGTGATCTCCCTCCTGGGGCATTTGGGGTCAGATGGTCCCATTGTGGGAATGGATAGTCCAAGTGAAGTAGGAGCAGGCATGTGGAGATGACTCTGCCTGCCAGCTTCTCCTCATTCCCTAACACAGGACAGTTGGTTTTACATGGCAATGGGGAGTGAGGAAAGAAACCATCTGATCTAGAAGCAAATGTCTGCTCTGGTATCTTCAGCTGCCCCGTCCCACTGTTCTATTCTTCCTCTATTAGTGTTAAATAGCTGTGAGTTGAGGGAGGAGACTGTTTACCAAAACTGTAACCAAGATAGTGAGTAATCTTCTTTTTCTTTGGTGATTACTCGAAGCTGAGTAAGATTGTGTTCCATAAACACGGTTTTAACAGTGGGTCCATAAGTGACTGTGGAGGCCAATTCTGGATCCACACATCCTTCCACAGTGGGGACACAGTTGATCACAGTGAGGGTTTGCCAAGCGTGCCTTCCTCTTAGCACGTTTCTCCCTTTCACCCTGAGTTCGAGTGTCTTCAAAGCCCATGACACCTTTGGTAAAGGCTGTGTTCTCCATTTGGATCGCTCGCAGGCCAGTGTTTCCTAGTTGTTGGTGTTTATACTACACTTTTTACAGATGTGATGTGAGAGAGTCTTTAAACCTCTTTTGTTGACCACTGGCATTACGCTTACCATTTTTGAGTTTGGAATAGAGTATTTATTTGGAATTTATTATTATTTATTATTAGTTGCTTTGGAAGACAATAATCAGACATCCACACAACATGACCAGTCCAATGAAATTGATGTTGAAGAATCATGGCTTCAACACTGGTGATCTTTGCTTCTTCCAGTACACTGGCATTAGTTCACCTGTCTTCCCAAGTGATGTGTAAAATTTTTCAGAGACACCGTTGATGGAATCTTTCGAGGAGTTGGAGATGGCGTTTATAAGTGGTCCATGTTTCACAATAATTGAGCGTTCTCATCCCACCCCTGCTTAGGCCTTCCTCCCCACACACTTTACAGTGAGTATGGACTTATAAATTCCACAAAAACTTCACTTAGTTTCATTGTCTTTCTTATAATAGGCCTCCGGATACGCTTGTTCAATTTTTCACTCAAGCTGCTTAGCTGTTTGTTGTACATAGTACGAGTGCTCCTGGATGATCCATCTCAACAACACGGATGGTAATGTTTTCTTCTTTTATTTGCCTTTCAAAATGCTTCATAAACTGTTTCACTCAACAGTTTATGCTCCATAAATGGTTTCACTCATCGCTGAGCTTTAATTGTGCATCTGTAGCAGCCATAGGCATAGTTTAGCTATAGGCTAAACTGTATTAGCTATAGGCATAGAATTTACTGTATGTGGGTGGGGGAGCAGAAAGTACAAGAATCTTAGAAAAAAACCATCACCAACGTGTGGTGATGTGGATAAATTGCAGAGGGACAGCATATTTTAAGACCATTTATTGCATTGCCTGTCGTATGTCTCACAAGAACACTTGCGACATTCTCAGCACAGGTGAAAGAGTTACAAACCTTTTAACGGAAGGGCTTTTCACATCTGGAATGTGTGCATTGTATTTAGGTCACTATTATTGACCCTTATTAATTTTTACTAGCACGTTGTTTCAGATATGTGAGTGTTCCTGAAGAATTTCAACTGTGTGGTTTGAGCAAACCATATTCTGCCCAGTTCAGATAAAATTATGGTGTGAGCATGCAACGGAAGGATGGGAGCACAGGGTACGATGATAGGTCATATATTGCCAAACCGTTTTTGAGCATTATGTCTGAACTAGTTCACTTCCCATGGTAGTACAGAAATGGCACAGGCACAAGTCATTTAGTAATTCCAAGCTTGGCATTAATAAGACTGGACTTGCTAAAGCTCAGTAGGCTATTTTGATATGACTTTAACGTGTGTAACTGTGAAGAAATTAAACAGTCCGAATGCTGTCTTTTTATTATTCTGTTCCTCTGAGTTCACATACAACTTCTTCTGTCTTAATGTGCTGCTTCGTAGAAGGGGAAGACCTTGTCTATAAAAATTGTCAGAGATCATTACATCTCATTGATTGCCTCTTATATTCTTGTTTCCTCTTTGGCTTTCCCTAACCATTTTCCTTGTGTCTTGCCTTCTTAAGAGCTTTCAAACATGTGGTCTTCCTTTTAATCACGTGCCATTTTAGATTATTGTCATTTTATTATTCCAATGTCTTTCTCTAGCCAGTTGCTCCAATGCATTCAGCGTGTCTCAGAATTTCTCCCCTTGCAGATTTTTCTGGAGTTGTCCAAGAGATAAGAAAGTAGTATTTGCACGTTGAAATTAGAAAGAACGCAACAATTATTGAGGCTTCAGTGGAGCTGTGCCCCCCCCCCAATGAAAGGGGAAATATAAATGGCAATACTGTGTGAGGGAGTACCGTATTTTTTGCACCATAACACTCACTTTTTTCCTCCTAGAAAGTAAGGGGAAATGTCTGTGCGTGTTATGGAGGAAATGCCTACGGGTGGCATGCCTACAGATTTTCCTCCTCTAAAAACTAGGTGCGTGTTATGGTCGGGTGTGTGTTATAGAGCGAAAAATACAGGTACCTATTCTCTTTATTTCTGAAAGTGGAACAAGTTGGGAGTGAACGGTACTTCTTAAATCATGGTTTTCATTGAGCTGTCCACACAACCTGAGAGTGGTTTGGTTAGTAGCTACAGCCTCAAAGGGCCATTTCTAAAAACAGATTTAATGTATGACTTATAATACAAAACAAAGGTGGAAAACTTTAATTATTTTGAACAGGTATGGTACTTAAGATGTGGCAAAAATGAGTCCCTTTTTCTGGGATGTTCCCCTCACCACAATGTAAGTTCTAGTATATTCAGCAAATTTTGTTTTTAATGACAACAACAAAAATATTTTTTAAACAGCTTTTATGAAAGACATGCTCAATAATACATTATTCAATTATTATACAAGCATATATCAACAGAAAGACTGTAGCTCAGCAGTTGAGCATCTATTTGGGCACAGAACACCCCAAGTTTAATTTCTGGCATCTTCCAATAGGACTGGAAAAGACTTTCTGTCCTGGAAAACCACTGTAGTCTGTGTAGTCAATGCAAAATTAGATGGACCCAATGTTCTTACTTGGTATAGGGCATCTTCCTATGTTCGTGTTACTCAAAGTTTGTCAAAGTACTGGCTTTCTGTATGTCATGTCACAGTGGCTTTTAAAATAGCATGGCATGATATTTTTGGATAGGCTTACTCACCATCAGTCTGGCTAGGGTGATACTTCAAAATAATTTTGAGATATTTTTTTCATAGGAGCCCTGAATTTTCTTGGGATTGTTATTTTCAGCAGCATCTAATGGTACTTTCCTCTCCTTTCCTCTCTATTACCCATTTGGGGTAATATAGAGACCGATTTGATATATTCCGATATAAGTTGTTTCAAAATACATGCAATTATTTTAATGGAGTAGGCAATTTAAACAAATGATTCCTTGCATAAGTTCCCCCAAATGGTTGGATTCCTGAGGAACGTGTCTACAGAGGCTGTTAGTGCTGTTCATTTTAAATAGCTGGCATATAAACTGAGCACTGTATAATCTAATTATAGCCACACACAAAAATTGTTCAAAAACTGACACTTAGTTTCATATTAAATCCCCCCCTTTTTTTTTTTTGGTTAGGAATAGCAAAAATTTAGTCATGTTGGCAGGAGGAATGGAGATTCCTGCAAATTACTAGGTATGCGTGGGTGTCCCCGTTCTGTGTCTGTTATTGTTCCCATGGACTGATTGTGCCTCATCTTCCAGCTCAACTTGGAGAATTTATCATATTAATTTCAGAACCACCCCGTGTGCAGTTTGTCGCAGTTTTCAGTTCATGTCCTCTCTCTCCCCCCTCCTTCTTACAGGCTACTGATATGCACAAGTACATATCAGGGTTAGTGCTCAAATCACAGAAGCGATGCTGACTGCATGAATATTTCTCTTTGCGTGGGGTTTTCATGTCTGTGTTTGTGTGCAATGGCAGTCTCAGAGGGGGAAAGGAAAGGCATGGGTTGCAAAGTCTGACAAACAGCAATAAAGTTCAGTGGTCTGAAATGGCAAAAGTTATAGATTTTGTTTATTTATGTGGATGGGAGTTTGATAACTGATCTATGCTGCTCCACAGCCAAGATCAAGCAATTTAGCCCTCCACATTCTGGAGAGAAATTCAGAGGAATAAAAATCCCTAAAGATGACAACAAATTACATCTCAGGGGAAAAAAAGATGTTGGTTTTTAAAGGTGCCCTTTAACTCTAAGTAGAGGACAGAAAATACAAGGCAGAGGGTTTGGGGTGGTGCTGTTTTTGCAACAATACTGTCCTAACAGATATTGATACCAATATAAGAGAGATAAATATAATGAGGCTGAGAAAAATAAGAATAGACTTCTGAAAATTCAGGTGGCCATTACATTGTTGCATTGGTTACTTCCATTTTCCATTGAGCGTCCCTTTCTATGCATTTGTTATCAAACGCCAGCAGGGTAGCCTTTAAATTAGAGGGTTAAATTCTTGAATACCTGCCTATGTTCCAAAGCAATCCTAAACATGGAAATAATAATAATAATAATAATAATAATAATAATAATAATAATAATAATAATAATAATAATATATTATTTATACCCCGCCCATCTGGCTGGGCTTCCCCAGCCACTCTGGGGGGCTTCCAAAAAAATATTAAAATACTGTAATACATCAAACATTAAAAGCTTCCCTAAACAGGGCTGCCTTCAGATGTCTTCTAAAAGTCTGGTAGTTGTTGTTCTCTTTGACATCTGGTGGGAGGGCGTTCCACAGGGAGGGCGCCACTACCGAGAAGGCCCTCTGCCTGGTTCCCTGTAACTTGGCTTCTCGCAGTGAGGGAACCGCCAGAAGGCCCTCGGTGCTGGACCTCAGTGTCCGGGTAGAACGATGGGGGTGGAGACGCTCCTTCAAATATACTGGACTGAGGCCGGAATGGGTTCTCTAGCAAGCCAGGATAGAAGAGGGGCAGGCAAGAATTTTGGTTTTTAGCTGCACCAGCTCCCAGTCATATCAGGACTACAGTGGTACCTCGGGTTACATACGCTTCAGGTTACATACGCTTCAGGTTACAGACTCCGCTAACCCAGAAATAGTACCTCGGGTTAAGAACTTTGCTTCAGGTTGAGAACAGAAATTGTGCTCCGGCGGTGCGGCAGTGGAAGGAGGCCCCATTAGCTAAAGTGGTGATTCAGGTTAAGAACAGTTTCAGGTTAAGTACGGACCTCCGGAACGAATTAAGTACTTAACCCGAGGTACCACTGTATATTGAGGGAAATGGCTTTGGATGCTGGATCTCTGCCCTGCCTGTATAGCAACCCAGTTTTGAGACCTTATGGTGGCAAGCACCACTCGCTTTTGCATGCGGACCACCACACTTTCTGCAGCATCTTAACTGCATCCTACATTGCGGATCAGGGTCTGCAAATCCTCTTTCAGTGATGAAAATTGATGAAAGTGTCCTGTGTTAATCTAAAAGGGCAGCGGTTCATTTCTTTGGGGTGAGTGTTCATGAGCAATAAGTTCTTTCAGCAGGTTTATGAAGCAGACATGAAAATGATGGATAGATACATAAGAACACCCGGCGTGGGAGGCAGGTTTATTTCAGAAGGGGAAATAAGAAAATGATTGTTTCATACAATTAATTCAGTTGAAGGAAGCAGGATTCAGTGAGAAGGCATCAATGAGTCAGTCCATAGATGAAGGCGGTTCCTTTGCAGCTTAATTCTCAGGACATCTCAGGACATAAAATATAATTGCTTTTGGGTAGTATTCAGCTAAAGCATATTCAGACTGACTGAAATCAATGAACCTAACTCAGTCATGTTCCTTAATATCAATGGGGTCTACGCTGAATAAAACTTGGTTGAATACCACCCTGTATTATTATTACAGCAATATATATATATATATATATATATATATATATATATATATATATTAGCATAAAAATACACATATTTTTCTAAGTGCAATGTTTATTATACTTATCATTATTAGTTGTTCACTCCAGAAGCACCCTGACTTAAGAGTCAAAAGACAGAGTAATAAAAAAATGCAATAAAACCATTATAATGAGCGATAAACAGCAAAAACATCATCCGCAGAAAATGTTTCCTCAATAAGTAGCAAGAGCGTTTATCACAACCTGTCAAATGTATGAGAGAAGAGATCTTTTACCTGGCTTTGCTACATGAAGTAAATGCTCATGCAAGATGTAATTCCAGTAAAATCAGCCTCTGGCTTAAATGAGGCCCATATCATAAATGTTACTCGTTACAGTGGTACCTTGGTTTACAACCATAGCCTGTTCCGGAGGTCCGTTTGCAAACCAAAACAGGTTGCAACCCAAGGCACGCTTTCGCCAATGGGGCCTCCAATTTTTTTTGTTCTTAATCCCAAAAAATGGGTTGTAATCCAAGGTGGCAAACTGGGACACGCACTTCCGGGTTCGACGTGTTTGTAATCCAAAACATATGCAAACCAAGACATATGCAAACCAAGGTACCACTGTATTGTTACATGTTGTAATTGTAACATGTTGTTTGGCCAAACAGAGGAAGTCCTCTGAATTTGGAAAGGCTTTTCTCAATCAGCATTCTTCTGCCCCATTGGAAAAAAGCTCTTATTTCAGGGGAAGAGGTTTTCTTCTGGGAGAGAGGTACATTTGAATCCAACCCATTATTTTGTCTTTGACATATGTTCTGGAACATTTCTTACTTTTAATAGCGTCACTAACTGTGGGGATATGCAAAATGCTGTGTAACAGTGCTAAACATTTGCAGTCACTGGGAATCTTATTTAGTTACCCCTTTGAGTTATAATATTTCAGCAGGTGTTGGCCATGCATGTTCATCTTCACAAATGTGAAGATAGAAACTTGCTGAACTTCAAGAAGGACTGCTGAGAGTCTCAGGAAGTTGATTATTTTTGGTGGCCAATGCCATATTTTGCTTTTCTGTGGAATCATAGCGTACACAATAACGGCACACTTTGGGTGTTATGTGCTGGGAACATGATGCACAGAGTTTTGGGCTTGCAAGGGTCCTTCCTCTGGCACCCCACCACAAGGATGAATTTGGAAATTTTTGCTCCTAGTTTAGATTAATGGCAGCTTGTTGTGTGGTCCTAACCAAAAAGCTAGTTCATCTTAACTGTGCGTTGTTTGGAGTAAGCAAACACCAAACCATGGGGTTACAAGGGTGCCTTGTTTCGAAAACATGGTTAACATTAACCATAGTTTAGCGTTCAGCCAACATGCTATTAGGAATTGGAAGCGAAACCTTTTGATCTCCTCATGAGCACCCTAGAGTTGGGGGAGGGGGCGAGCATGGAAGCCCAAATCTTGGTATAGCTAATTCTCATCACACTAAACTATGGTTTTGCATGTTGTCTAAACCTGACCGTTGTCTTGACTATATGTATTAAATATCACAAGTTTAACTTTCTAATGCCTTACTCTTTTTTCTGATGCCTTGTTTCTTCTACCAATAAACGCTCCCCATCCTTAGTTGCAGTTCTTTTCCTGCATTTATGCTTAGTATCACCCCTTCTCATATTTAACCTCTTTCCTTTCTCAGACAAGACATTATAGCATCTGTCCTGCATGCTATTTCACAACCGTTTTTTAAAAAGTATTGTTACAGCTAGCTAATTATCTTGTCTGCCTTTCCTCTCCCGCTCCCTCCCCCTCTCCCCCTTAATACCATTTTTGTTGTGCAATTACACCGTTATCTAAACGAAAATGGATTTTATATTTGGATGCCTGGTAGCAAGGAATTAATTTGGGGATGTTCCAGTCAGAACAACACTTCCAGCAAGATAGATTGGTAAGTTTAAGGCTGTATTTACAAGAACAGTGATATTTTTTGAGCTAAGATACAATAATGCACTTTTCTTAAAGAGTACACATATTGGTGTAAACAGGAACTGTGCTTCTGCCAGATGGATAGTTAGTTAGAAATTGTTATGCTGGGGAAAATTGGTCAGGAACATGAACCATTGGAAATTTGAATCCAGAAACCCCCACAATTCATCACAAACATGTATTTGGCACAAGCAAATCACCTTAGATCACCTTAGATCAGCTGTGTTAGAATTAAACTAAGCTCTCCCAGGTTTTGTCATTTGAAGCAATAACAACAGGTTTTTTAAGGTATGTTTTTAATGGTTCACTGTAGTTTGAAATGGATGGTGAAGCCTTTGGAGAGTTTACTTCTTTGGGTTATTTCATTAATGAGTAAGTATTATTGATTCATCTATAAAAAAATATATTGCATGATAACTGCTGGATGCTTTCCCCCCCAAGTCCTCTTCAACAATACACTGGAAGTGCAATTAATCTTTCTTATTCCACTTCGATTATTTGAAAAAAAGGAGAGACAATCCAATTTTTAGACTATTATTATTCTGCACATTGAATATTTATTAAAATTGAAGTTCAGCAACATCTGGAGGTCCGAAGGTGCCTGATAACTAGACTAGAACTTGTCACTCAGTTCCTTGGCTGTAGGTTTCTAGTGTTTGTTACAATATGAATTAAAGCATTTATAGGGCATAGGGGGTGTAATTGTGGCACGGGGAGGGGGGGCTAGTTTTCTTTCCTATGGCTTATCTGAGCCTGACGTTGGAGATGTATTCATTTTGTTACTGTAATTTAACAGGTCGCTTATCTTTTGGGTGAACAGAAGCTTACCTTTATGGGGATTACAGGTAATGTATGGCTTAAGTTTTATACAGCTCATTCAGATGTTGCTTAGTAATATTATCCCAGGATGTGTGTGTCAGGAATCATGGGTACTTAAAGGAAACAACATAGGACACTATTCAGTTAGCAAACCAAGGGATGTGTAGGAAAGTTACATTCAGAAAGCCAGGACTAATCTAAATTTCTTATGATGATTGAGATTACAATGGTTCTTACTTCTGAGTAGACAGGCAAAGGATCCCTCTGTGAAGCTGGTGTTCACAGATCCCTATGCGCAGTCAGAGCATTTCCAATGCAAGGATAAAGGTCAACAGTTTTATTTCTAATCGAAGTCCTTTGCACCATGCACCGTCCTGGTCAAAACATGTAGCATGCAGCCTTCTGGAACTCAACCAAAGTTCTGGCCATGTTTTTGAGAGCCAGTGTGGTGTAGTGGTTAAGAGCGGTAGACTGGTAATCTGGGGAACCGGGTTCGCGTCTCCCCTCCTCCACATGCAGCTGCTGGGTGACCTTGGGCCAGTCACACTTCTGTGAAGTCTCTCAGCCTCACTCACCTCACAGAGTGTTTGTTGTGGGGGAGGAAGGGAAAGGAGATTGTTAGCCACTTTGAGACTCCTTTGGGTAGTGATAAAGCGGGATATCAAATCCAAACTCTTCTTCTTCTTCTTTTCTGTCCACCTAAGCTGGGCATGAAGTTGCAGATGAAAAGCTGCTAGCCTCAAAGAAAGTGTCTTGCATAGATCAGATTTTGAAATGGACTGCTGCTTTCCCCCCCTGAGGAATGTACCTGCCTATCCAGTACACAAAAAGGAATATGAACTGCGCAAGAGCCATTGGAGCAGTAGTATAGATTACAAGACACTAGTTTATAGTTGGGCTGTGTAATTTGCTGTCGGTTTTCAGTGTTCCATTTAAGAGATACATTTTCACTTAGCTCTGAAAGCTTGTAATAAACTGGACACTGTGACGTTTTTTTAAAAAAGAAAATAATTTCTTTCTTTCTTTTTGAATATAGGCGGTAGGGCAGAATATTATCATCTCATTAGTTAGGGGTTTTCTCAGTCTTGCTAATCATGAGCCTAATCTACTATTATTATTTTCCTACGCACATTTGGAATGGTTGGGAGCTGGGCAGCAATAAAATAGCCTTCGGTTGAAAGGACAAATCCTTTGGGGATTTTTAGGTGGAAACCATCATCTGCAATGTTTAATATGGCTTACGCTGTATTGTGCAATAATGGTGTTCCACCCCCATGCTCCATCACTGCCTGGTGATGGTGGGGGCTTGAAACACAAAATTAATGTAGTCACAGGTATTAGATATTGGATATTACAGAGGGAGAGATGGGAATTAGATATTGGATTGATCTTCCTGATGACACTCTCTCCCTCCTGCCCAGGAGACCCTGTCTGGTTCATGTGTGCACGCACATGTACATACACATTTTGATTTTTGTGTATGTGTTACGGGTGTGGAAATGTGTAATCATGCAACACAACATCACTTTAGACAGGAGTTAAGAACAAAAATAATTGCTTTTTCTGATCTGCCTTTTCTTGTTTATTAAATTTGCATGTTTTGGAGTTGCTGCTTTGCAATATTTTCCCATTAAAATTAAAAATTACAAGGTAGAAGTAATTTTTAAAAATAAATTGTTAGTCATTCCTGGATACAGGCAATCATTTCCTAATCAATTAGGCTTGTGTGGTTTCTGAAATCAGAATTTTGTTTACCTGTTGTTTCCAAACGTTTGGAAAAAAATTTGATTGCTAAGGCTGAATAATGCAGGTTTTTTTTATTGTTTTCCTTCACCATTTAGTATAAGTTTATTGTTGTTCTAGTCTTTCATTCTCTTGTTTCTCATCATTTTGTACATATGGGATTTAGATCTTCCTGCTCAACAGCAGTTCATATAACCCATATACTTCTGGGAGTCTTTGCAAGCAAGTTAAAGCTGAACAGTTCAGTCCAGATGTCTATCATTACTTTTATTTAGCTTTTAAATAGTGAGATGAACCCATTTTTAACAGTTAGGTATGTACCATTAATTTAACACAGCACAATCAATTAGCTGAAGTAACATGTCCTAGTGATATCTGTGAGACTAGGAGTGGGGGGCAGGGAACCTTACATTTGGCTCAGATCTAATGAATGTAGGATATTTATTCATCATAAAATCTGGTGGGGGTTCTGTTGACCTCTTCACCAACCCACCCATGTTGAAATTATATATGGGGGTGAGTTGCCAGGTTGCATAAGCTAGCTTGCCCCCTACTGGTGATGCACAAACCAGCCACACCCCTGCTGTGGTCTAAACCACTGAGCCTCTTGAGCTTGTCGATCAGAAGGTCAGCGGTTCAAATCCCTGCGACAGGGTGATCCCATTGCTCTGTCCCAGCTCCTGCCAACCTAGCAGTTCAAAAGCATGCCAGTGCAGGTAGATAAATATGTACCGCTGCGGCGGGAAGGCAAATGGCGTTTCCGTGTGCTCTGGTTTCCATCACGGTGTCCCGTTGCACCACAAGTGGTTTAGTCCTGCTGGCCACATGACCCGGAAAGCTGTCTGTGGACAAACGTCGGCTCCCTCTGCCTGAAAGCGAGATGAGCACCGCAACCCCATAGTCGCCTTTGACTGGACCTAACCGTCCAGGGGTCCTTTCCCTTTCCCTTATCTTTGCATGCATTCTTAGATACCTAGCTAGAGCACTCCCACACAAGGAAGAGTATCTTATTTGTGTCAGGACCCCCTAACAAATGGACCAGTTTTATCCATGCACAGTCGTGGGCTGCCCATGAGATGTCCTTGCCTAAGCCTAGAACTGTTCCTTCTTCACCTCCTTCCCATTATTATTTTGTTGTTGTTGTTTAGTCGTTTAATCGTGTCCGACTCTTTGTGACCCCATGGACCAGAGCACGCCAGGCACTTCTGTCTTCCACTGCCTCCCACAGTTTGGTCAAACTCATGCTGGTAGCTTTGAGAACACTATCCAACCATCTCGTCCTCTGTCGTCCCCTTCTCCTTGTGCATCTTTCCCAACATCAGGGTCTTTTCCAGGGAGTCTTCTCTTCTCATGAGGTGGCCAAAGTATTGGAGTCTCAGCTTCACAATCTGTCCTTCCAGTGAGCACTCAGGGCTGATTCCCTTCAGAATGGATATGTTTGATCTTCTTGCAGTCCATGGGACTCTCAAGAGTCTCCTCCAGCACCATAATTCAAAAGCATCAATTCTTCGGCGATCAGCCTTCTTTATGGTCTAGTTCTCACCTCCATACATCACGACTGGGAAAACCATAGCTTTTACTATATGGACCTTTGTTGTTCCCATTATTAGCAGCTGCCTATGCCAGGTTCACAGAAGATAGGTGCCCTTTTCTCAGGCAGCAGAGCAATAACCGTGCCGCTCTGAGCTCTGGCCATACAAAGCAGTGGAACTAGAGCCCATTTTTTCACCCGTGAAATTTGAAAGTCGAGGAGATTAGAATTCTCTGTACTGAAGATGAAACATTTCTTAGTGCCAAATCACTGGGTGCTGGCAGCATATGATTCACTTCAACCAGCACTGATTTGGTGGCATCTGAACATTTTTCGGATGCTGCTGTTATTTTTATACGTTGACAACTCCTAATCTCTGTGCTGAATCTGATTATGCAATTGTTCAGGATGTTGGGTTTTCATTAGTAAGGGACATTTGTTTAAAATTAGAAATTCTCATGCTAATCTTATTCAAGATTCCAGGTGAGGAATATGTTTCTACAAATGCCAGTCCACAGAATATCCTGTATTTATTGAGTGCATGCTGTTATTTTAGGCCACTGAGTTCTTTTTCTAGCTGTTTTGAAGTTAGTTTGAGATGACTGAGGCAAATTCATCTGAAAAACATTGTGTTTTGAGAAGATGAAAAGAACCTTCATGAGTCTTGAGTGTGAGGGCTTAAACTTGTTTCTGATATGTTTTTAAGTTTTGAACTGGTTACAACCTTTTTTTAAAGTGCAATTCTAGAAAAGCTGTCTGTCAGAGCTGCCCGAGGTCCCAGCTCACAAAGGACCAACGCCAGTTCCTTGTTATATACAAAAGTCTTTATTGAAGTTCGGTTTCGCTTTCACAGCCGCAGCGCGCAGCTCTACGTCTCAAACTCTAGACCGCTGAAGCTCCGTCTGAATCTCCTCCCCCCAGACACCAGTTTAAGACTCTAGCCTTGCTCCACCTCTTCCTTTGCTCTTTCCTCCTCTGGTTCTGCCTGTCCGCTGGGGTCTTGCCCTTCCTAGACTCTTCTGACGCTGAGTCCCCTGAGTCTTCCCCCTGCCTCCGGCGGGCTTTAGGATCTGGTTCCCAATCCGGGTTTTCTGCTGTCCCGCGCGCCTGTACATTCGAACTTGGCGTGCGCGCCCAGCCGGCAACCTTCCTCCTGACCGTTACACTGCTCCTGTCACTGCTTCCCCCTTCGGGGAGGCTAGCTGGACCTGACCTCCCCTCCGTTCCCCCACTCTCCGATAGAGGCGTGGTCAGCCCTGACTCATCTTCTCTCCCCGCTGGAGGAGACGCTGGCCCTGACACATGGGACTCTTCCCCCCCACTACGCTCTGGTGGGGAAGCTGGTCCTGATCTCCCGCTGCTGCTTTGGGAGTCCCCGCTGGCCCCTTGTTTCTGGTGCGTCCCCCCTGGGACCCCCCTTGCCCTGACCATCAGCGCCCCCTTCTGGGAATCTTCTGATTCGCTGGAGAAGCTCATGGAATCTATCGGGTCACTGTCGTACTCCCCTACACTGCCCTCAGATTCTTCCCCTTCGCTCTCCATTTCCTCTCTCCCCTGTGCCTCTGCTCCTGAGCCCCTGACACTGTCAATGACTTAAGCAACATATACTGAATTTTTGAAGCCTCCTGCAACTAATGATGCAAGGAATAGTTTCTTGTAGTCATGTTTTTCCCATAGGGCTTAGTGGTGCATCGCGCCAGGGCACCGGCCTCTCAGGGGCGCCCCAGCTAATGGGGGAGCTGCGCAGCTTTGCTGGCGGCCTCCCCTTTCCCTGCATGCCTGCCAGCTGCGCCCCGCCAACTATAAGGCTGGTGGGCATTTAGCTTTCCCCCCCCCAAGCCTCTGCAGGGATCGCTCTCCTCCTGAGGAGGCATGGGAGGGGTGCAACTTCACTCCTAAGCCTCTGCAGGGATTGCTTTCCCGCAGTGGCATGGGGGAGAATTGTGCTCCCCCCGGATGGCTGGCAGTGCGCAGCCACTGCCACCCCAACACTATCCGTGGTAATTTGGGGGCACTAGGTAGATATTTGCACCCCGGCACCACATCTGCTAAAGACAGCCCTGACAGGTCCAGCTCAAGAGATCAAAAGCTTTATTGAAAGCTTGCAGGATAGCTACTTCTCCCACAAATCAGCTAGTTTTGGTTTACCCAATGTACACTTATTGAAAGTTTGCCTAATCCTCAGGTATTATTGCACAAGATTTCACATGTGTCTCACTTCTTCAGGTGTCGGTGGCTTTGATAAGTCTATTGGAAACAACGCTCCTGAGCTATCTCAGCTATAAAGTAAGTATTTATGGCTACATTCTTCCATATCTATAGGAACCTGGGGTTTTCCAGATTGCCTAGGATCCCAAGCCCCATCATCCTCACCCAACATATCTGCAGGTCAGGGGTGATGATGGGCATTGTGTAGCACTAAACATACCATCAGACGGAATGAGATAGTTGCCCTTGGCAATAGATGCTAGGAGAAAGCAGGGGCAGCCCCCCTTCTTTCTGAGCCCCCCCCCAATTATTGGCATCTGTTGGAGATCAGAGTTACGTATGTCTGCCACAGGTCCTACACTAGTCAATCAGATGTACTCAGAAAGGGTGAGGTGCCATCTTGTTTCTTGCTTCAGGCAACAAAATGTGTTAGGCTGGCCCTGAAAGTAAACCGCTTCCGTATGGGACAGTTCTGTTTCTGTCCGTTAAAACAAATGGGTTTGGAAACAGGTTTTATTAGTTGCGTTTAAAGAAGGGCTCAGCAAACTTTTTCAGCAGGGGGCCGGTCCACTGTCCCTCAGACCTTGTGGGTGGCTGGACTATATTTTTTTGGGTGGGGGATGAACGAATTCCTATGCCCCACAAATAACCCAGAGATGCATTTTAAATAAAAGGACACATTCTACTCATGTAAAAACACGCTGATTCCCGGACCGTCCACGGGCCAGATTTAGAAGGCAATTGGGCCAGATCCAGCCCCCGGGCCTTAGTTTTCCTACCCATGGTTTAAAGGTTGTTAAAAGCAGTGCTGTTTCAAAGGTTCCAGCTCCTTGTGGATTTTTAAAATTGGAGTGCTTGGGAGTGTCCCTTAACATTGAGAGAAAGCTCCTGTGTGTTGTGGAACTTTAGCCAATGCCCCCAGTGTTTTTGTTTAGAGAGTTCCATTCCTAACTTCCTAATAGTAATTACCCATTCCTGATTTACCAGCTGGAAATTGTTGATGTGCTTCTAGATAAAGATAATTAATTTCTGTTTGTTTAAATTTGTAGCATGAAAGAAAAAAAATAGGAGAGTTTCTTTTTATTTCTTTTTAAAAATGAGGTTCATTGCAAATATTGATGAGCCTGCCTAGGATTAGACACAATCTGGTAGTTTTTCCAGTTAACTCCCCGCCCCCCTATGTGGAGTGCATTTGCATAATTTTGTAGTATGTCACTTGCTGCGTGCCTCACTCTGTGTGTCACTGCATACCTGCGTTGTCGCTGTGCAAAATGTTAACGGTTGATAGTGCTGTGTTTTTGTTTTTGTCTTCATTTTTACAAGGGAAACCTGTGGGAGCAAGTTGTGCGGATACCTTTCCTGCTGGAAATTATTAATGCTATCCCTTTCATAATTACAGTAAGTCTCATCCATTTAACACACAATCTGGGTTAAGTGTGAAGTTATTTTAAAGCAGTACAAATTCTAGAATTCAGGCTGAATGCGCGATCCTGTAATTATTTCCCTTAAAGCTACAAGCTTCAATTAGTTGAATCAACTCACATTTTGATTGATTAATTGGAAGGCCTAATTTGAGTTGGTTGAAGCAAATTTTAATTAGTGGTGGAAATAATTTATTTTTGAGGCTATTTTCAATCTGATATAATTTTCCTCTTCTTTCTTCATTATTAAACATTTGGGTTCCCCCACCGCACAGCAACTTGTGCTTATTACATTGTTAATTTGGTTTGTAAGTTTATAGCCTACTTTTGTTTTTTTGAAATGTAATAATTGTTCAGCACCTAGGGTCAAAGGGGGATTATAAACATTGGACAGGATTCACCTCAGCAGCCCTGTCAGCAGTAGCTTCATGCACGGACTTCTGCTTGCACAACAATGCTTTTCCATCTGCACCTGCCTAAATTGGTTTGGGGGAAGGGGCTGCAGAAACCTCAAAATGGCAGGAGGGGAGAGGAGAGGGAGGGTATCATTCCATCTGGCAAAGTGAGATTCTTTTTCAGGTGGAATATTTCTCACATCTGTTATTATCTATAAAAAAAACCCCATACAGTGGACGCCCGGGTTGCGAACATGATCCGTGCGGGAGGCATGTTCGCAACCCGCAACCCGTGCATCTGCGCACGTGTGGGTCGCAATTCAGTGCTTCTGCACATGCACATGCGCCAAAACCCGGAAGTAACCGTTCCAGTAACTTCTGGGTTCAGCGCGGTGCACAACCCGAAATCGCACAACCCGAAGTGTCTATAACCTGAGGTCTGAGTTTACTTATACTGAAGTTCCATTACTATGTTCTTAAATCAGTTTAATTGATTGATTGCTTAAAGCAGAAGTTTTCAACCTTTTGGGGTCCACGGCCTCCCTTGACCAACGACATTCTTTCTGCGGCACCCCTGTGGGGCTAAGGAGCCCAGTTATGGCACCCCTTGCCTACGCAGCTGGCAGCCCCTCACCCCTTTTCCAACACCCTCCCTTGTGGAGTGTTCCCTCAGCCTCCTCTCCTCTCCCTTCTACTTGGGAGTCCTCCGGACAGCTGCTGCCCCTGGTCTCTGAGCTGCCCTTCCTGCCCCCCAAAGAGGTGTCTCCTCACACTGCCCCACAGAGGCCTGGGAAGCACCCCCTGGCCAGCCCCAGAGGTGGCATTACCTGGGGAGCTTGTAGCAACAAACAGTCAGGCAAGCCTTTGGGAAGCAAAAACCCAAGAGGCCAACAGAGGCAGGAGGGAAGGAAAGAGGGTTTGTCTTAAAAGGCTCAGCAATTTAGGGGGTTTCCTAAAAAAAAAGCTAAAGAATTTTTGTGGTCTCCTGGTTTTTAATTTTTCAAATATGGCAACCCTAAGAGAGGGACAGAGGCCAGTGTTGCTCGCGGCAATCCTGACCATCATTCAAGGCACCCCAGGGTGCCACGGCACACTGGTTGAAAACCACTCGCATAAAGGGAAGTTATTTAAATGGTATAAATAAGTTATTTAAACAGTGGCATTTCCATGTGGGCTGCATGGATCTCAGTTCACAAATGGTTATAAAGCGTTTGTGCACACATCTAGTTTGGCCCAAAAGCTTCCTGGTAAATGTGCTTAGTAGGATTCCATCTCCCCCCCCCCACCAAGGGTGAAAAGAGAGTAGAACAAATATCTCAAAAGTTATCTCTGCTGAGGTAAATTCTTACTTGTAGCATTGCAATAAGGCTTGAAATTAGATCTTTTAAAATGAAACTACCGTTTCTGTACATTCAGTGCAGTTTTACTGGCAAAGTTAGCTGAATACATTTAATGTCTTTCTGCATTCTCCTTCAGATTTTCTGCCCTGCATTAAGAAACTTATTTATCCCAGTGTTTTTAAATTGCTGGCTTGCCAAACATGCGTTGGAGAATATGATTGTAAGTATAACAAAGGACTTATTTAAGAAAAATGACAACAAAACTCTGTACTTTTATCTGTACAAATCACAAACCTAGATCATTAGTCTGCTTAAGCCACAACACCTAAATTCCAGCCTGTGAAGTGCCACTGAAAATGGATGGGAGTAAATTGGATTAAATCCAAATACACCAGGTTAATTGGTTTTTGAATTTCCATTCAAATGCTGAAGTAGTTTTATTGTTGGAATTTGCAGCCTTCTGTTTTACCTCCCTGTGGTTTACTTAGATTCACTTCTCAGGAAAACAGGTGCCTTGCCTATGTTTATAATAAAACTATTGGTCCAGCATTAATCCCTTTGCCTCATTGGTTATTTTTTTTTCTGGCTTCAAACTGTTGGAGCTGATGGTTTCTTGAGCAAATACCAATTATACTTGGCTCCTAATCCATGCGTAGCACTCTTTCTTGTTGGTTGCCAGTCCAAAAACATAATCCTTTACGTGTATACTCAGAAGTAAGTCCCATTGAGTTCAGTGAGTATGTACAGGATTGAAGCCGAAGTTGTTATTTCAAAAGACTTTTAATCTGATTATTTGATTCCTTTAATTTAGACTGGTTGGTTTTACTGCAATTTATTGTATCAGTTTGTATTTTAGAGTGATTGTTCTATTGATTGGGAGCTTTATTTTTGAAAAGGGTATGCTGGTTTTTGCTGTATTTCTTTGTAGCTATTTTGAATGCCTCAGTAGAAAGGCAAATAAGATTTCATATATAAATAAAATGTGAACCTTTGCAGTACTGCAGTGCTTCAAAACATGGAATCCAGATTGTATATCTGCATATGAAATACTGACAAAAGTTAGATTAGTTGTGGCATATTTAATATTTAATATAAAAAGCATTTCTGAACATTATGCATCTCTTTTCTTTTAATCTAGAATGATCTCCATAGAGCCATCCAGCGCACACAGTCTGCAATGTTTAACCAAGTTCTGATTTTAATATCTACGTTGCTGTGTCTTATCTTTACATGGTAAGTAGTATGTGGTGATGTTACTAGTAGTAATGTAATTCCGTTCTTACACTGTTTCAAGAAAAAAGTTTTAATTACATTTTTTATAGGCATGTATTTTGTGGTAGCAAAAGTTTAGGGAAGGAGGGTGTTTATATCTTTGGTTGCAGTAGGAAAGAAAATGTCAGCCCTGCAGCTTATGTAAGGAGATTCCTCTAATCATAGAATAAGCAGGACTCGCTGTTTTGCAAATGATGCTTGTTATGTTCCAGAGAGATCCAGTTCAGAGAAGTCACGCATAGGACAGCACCCATTAAGACCCTTGAAAAGGGGAAAGCTATTTGTCATACATCCTCAACGTGGGAGTGGAGCTAAATGTTATAAACAACCTTGGCTGGAGCAGGCAGGAAGCATTTCGGAAGATCATTATATCTATAATTTGATGGTTTGAAGCTTCTTCCTACCAAACATCCAGAACCCCAAATGTGAAACTTGAAAAGCAAAATCTAAGACTTAGCTGTTGCTTTCTGTATACACTTTGCACTGTACTGTTTTGACTTTCTTTTTTCTTTCTTTCTTTCTTTCTTTCTTTCTTTCTTTCTTTCTTTCTTTTTTTAAAAAAATATTTATTAAGTTTTCCAATTTAACAATCCAATGAATCCATTAAAACATTCAAAATTATAATACAATCATAAAAGCCAAATAATCATGCCAAATTATATTTTTTTTGGGGGGGTGACTTTCCATGCTCTGAAGTTTGGGGAGTGATGATCTAATATTTATACTACATTTCTTAATTAGTCAGAAAGTCCTGATAAACATTCCCGATGTTACTGTTTTGCATTTCTTTTGCATTTCTACTTTTTTAATTTTTATTTTATTGAAAATATGTGTTTAGTTCTGTTACAAGCTCTTCCACAGTACCAATAGGACAGTAGCCTGACCCATCTGCACTATACATTTAAAGCATTATCATACCACTTTAAACGGCTGCCCCCAAAGAATCAAGGAAACAGTAGTTTAAGGGTGCTGAAAGTTGTTAGGATATTTCTATTCCCTTGACAGAATGAGAGTTCACAGAGCTTGCTGGGGAGAGGGATTAACTACTCTGAAACTGTAGCTCTGTACGGAGAATAGAGATCCCCCTACCCACTCTCAGCTCCTTTAACAAACTATACTTCCCAGGATTCTTTGGGGAAAGCCATGACTGTTTAGGGACGTGGGTGGCGCTGTGTGTTAAACCACAGAGCCTAGGACTTGCCGATCAGAAGGTCGGCGGTTCGAATCCCCACGACGGGGTGAGCTCCCGTTGCTCGGTCCCTGCTCCTGCCAACCTAGCAGTATGAAAGCACGTCAAAGTGCAAGTAGATAAATAGGTACTGCTCTGGCGGGAAGGTAAACACTGTTTCCACGCACTCCTCTGGTTTCGCTAGAAGCGGCTTAGTCATGCTGGCCACATGACCCAGAAGCTGTACGCCGGCTCCCTCGGCCAATAAAGCGAGATGAGCACCGCAACCCCGGAGTCAGTCATGACTGGACCTAATGGTCAGGGGTCCCTTTACCTTTACCTTTATGACTGTTTAAAGTGGTATCATAGTGCTTTAAATGTATAGTGCAGATGGGGTCTTGGTGTGGCATTAATTGCTGTGTGAAACACAGCTTTAAGTATTCTTCGGTGAGCATGTCCTTTGATATTCGCTGGGATCTGATTCTTTTTCTAACATTACACAAGCAGTTGATAGAATATGAAGCAGATCTCCACGCTAGTGCCTGGCTGGTTGTGGGAAACAAAAGCATTTGAGAGCAAGCCATGGTCTGTGACTGACAAGGAGAAGAGAGCTGTTTAGAACGGAACTATTTAGAGAGGAACATGACGTTCAGGTGCAGCCTGCATTTTGTAGCCGACACAAAAAGATGGAGAAAATGGCAAGTTGAACCACAGCAATTATTGCTGCCTTCAGCATCTGGAAGCTCATTATGCACCAAATTATTCTGTCCCTGTTATGACCCTTCCAGACAGGGGAAAAGAAAGAGACTAAACAGCAACAAGGGGGAAAAACACACCCTATAACACAATTGCTTGCTAAGGAAACGAATCCGTCTGCAACAGCCTGCAATATTAATTGAAATCATATTCAGTTGGCCTTAAAACAACCCTCAGCAGATCTGCCATTGGTTTATGTTGCTGTTCCTTTGGATTTTCCAAAAGTTATGTTTGTATTTTTAGATAAAGGTAAAGGTAAAGGGATGGACGCGGGTGGCGCTGTGGGTTAAACCACAGAGCCTAGGACTTGGTGATCAGAAGGTCAGCGGTTCGAATCCCCACAACGGGGTGAGCTCCCGTTGTTCGGTCCCTGCTCCTGCCAACCTAGCAGTTTGAAAGCACATCAAAGTGCAAATAGATAAATAGGTACTGCTCCGGCGGGAAGGTAAATGGCATTTCCGTGCGCCCCTGACCATTAGGTCCAGTCGTGGCCGACTCTGGGGTTGCGGCGCTCATCTCGTTTTATTGACCGAGGGAGCCGGCATACAGCTTCCGGGTCATGTGGCCAGCATGACTAAGCCACTTCTGGCGAACCAGGGCAGTGCACACAAACGCCGTTTACCTTCCCGCCAGAGCGGTACCTATTTCTCTACTTGCACTTTGATGTGCTTTCGAACTGCTAGGTTCACAGGAGCAGGGACCGAGCAATGGGTGCTCATTCGATTGGAATTCGAACCGCCGACCTTCTGACCAGCAAGTCCTAGGCTCTGTGGTTTAACCCACAGTGCCAGCAAATATCGATATTGCGGACAGTTTCTCACACATACGCTGATATTTGCTTGTTGCACTCTGCAGAGCAATTGCAGTAATTAAGAATATCTGAATTCTCTTTATCAATTCATCCTGCAAAGCATGGATAGCCCTGGGGTTCTGTTTACTGGGGGGTGGGGTGGGGTGGGGTGTATCCTGTTCCTCAGCAAGAATGAGGGTGCTAGAGAGCTTGGGGGACATTTCCAGTGCAACTGGTCAGCTTGGTCATTCTGGATTTTGCCATTTGACCAAAAGCAAATTGACTATGCCAGCTGAATTTACTCGATATACGATCAGCAGAGTAGAGGCTTCACCTTCCCCCACAGAAGTGCTCATTGATCCATTTAAAATGCTCTCCGTTTTTGTCACAATTCTTCTGGTTGGCTCTGGGCAAGATCTTTAGCAGAAGGTAAGTTGAGGTGAGCTCTCGACTTCTCACTAAGGACACCATTAAGGGGTCTTGGGAATGTCAACTCAAGGTTTAGCCAGGTTTGGGACCAGCATTCCTTCCTTATCCCCACATTCACAGGTGTAGCCATGACATTGGTGCACACTGTAGCTGGTCTGAAACTGTCATCCACCCATTACTATTTTCCCCAGTATGCTGGCTGAAATTGGGCCATTGGAAAGCTGTGCTCTTGTCCTAGTCTATGTCACTCCAAATTCTGTGCATCCGTGATGAGTTTTTGTGTTGTTCCTGCTCTCCCGTCTCCATGGACCAGGTAAAATTGAAACACTGTATGAAATGAAGGGGACTTGGACCTAACAATCTGTTTCTCTGCAATAATTATTATTCAGCCATTGTGTGGGACTCTAGGGTCTTCAAAGCACATTTCCTCAATCATTCGGTAAGTAGACTGGTATTATTGACACCATATTGTAACAAGCAATATGGTGCCAATAGATTAGACTGAGTCGCTTGCCGAAGGCCACCTAGTGAATTCATGGATGGCTTTCAAGGTTGCAGCTCAGTCCCTTAGCCATTAGTTTAGATTTGTGCAGTCTGAAGCCATTAGTTTAGATTTGTGCAGTCTGCATATCTTAAGTAACATGAATTAATCCCTGGTAAATTTTAAGATGAAGTTAATATGAGCCTATTAACACTAAGGATTTGGAGAACACCCCCTCACACACACTCAACATGAGATACGCTTTTACAGGTTACCCTGAGAATGGTTTCAACTGTGGTCTTCTTTTGAGTCCTGTAGATTCATTTGCTATGGGTCCAGGGTGAAGCAGCCTCTGAACATCACTAAATGTATACAGGATGTTGAGGCCTATTTGAACTCTCTCCCACCCAGTCTTGAGTTCTCAAAGAAACACTTTCAATAGCTTTTTTGCCCTAAGCTGTACGCCTGATCCTATTTACCTGGGATCCTATTTACCTATTTACCTCCTATTTAAAGAGGAGAGCGCAAAATATGGTCTGAAGCTCAACATCAAAAAAACGAAGATCATGGGCACTGGTCCCATCACCTCCTGGCAAATAGAAGGGAAAGAAATGGAGGCAGTGAGAGATTTTACTTTCTTGGGCTCCATGATCACTGCAGATGCTGACAGCAGTCACGAAATTAAAAGATGCCTGCTCCTTGGGAGAAAGGCGATGGCAAACCTAGACAGCATCTTAAAAAGCAGAGACATCACCTTGCCAACAAAGGTCCGTATAGTTAAAGCCATGGTTTTCCCAGTAGTGATGTATGGAAGTGAGAGCTGGACCATAAAGAAGGCTGATCGCCGAAGAATTGATGCTTTTGAATTATGGTGCTGGAGGAGACTCTTGAGAGTCCCATGGACTGCAAGAAGATCAAATCTATCCATTCTTAAGGAAATCAGCCCTGAGTGCTCACTGGAAGGACAGATCCTGAAGCTGAGACTCCAATACTTAGTCCACCTCATGAGAAGAGAAGACTCCCTAGAAAAGACCCTGATGTTGGGAAAGATGGAGGGCACAAGGAGAAGGGGACGACAGAGGATGAGATAGTTGGACAGTGTTCTCGAAGCTACCAGCATGAGTTTGACTAAACTGCGGGAGGCAGCGGAGGACAGGAGTGCCTGGCGTGCTCTGGTCCATGGGGTCACAAAGAGTCGGACATGACTAAACGACTAAACAACAACAACAAACCCCAGGAAATTCAGCAAACTTTCTTCTGAGTTGGCATGGCTAAAATCATGCTGTTAGTCTTCAGAATTTCTTAGAGGAACTGTGATATCCTTACTGTACGTAATT